CACATGTGCGTGCGTGCCCAAGATCCTGAGAGGAGAATGGAGGAGAAGGGATTGCAGCGTGACCATCCCCCCTGGGGGGTGATTTTGCGCTTTCTGTCTCTATGTCTCTCTCTGTCTGTCTGGCGAGCGCATGCGCCCTATAGCGAAAACCTCTCCAAAAAAAAAAAGACAGAGCTGACCTTGATGCAGAAAAGAACTTAGAACAGAGTTCTAAGTTGTCAGGATGCTATTAGGAGCTCATACATAGCAGACACTCTGGCCTCTCTAACTAATAGAAAATGAGGGACCAGCAGTTAGCGTAATGGCTATGTCGCTGGACTCCCACGTAGTCAACCACGGTTCGCATACCGGACCCGGTGGCTTAAAACTCACACCGGGCACGTGTGCGTGCATGCCCAAGATCCCGAGAAGAGAAGGGATTGTGGCGTGGCCATCCCCCCTGTGGGGTGATTACTCGCTTTCTGTCTCTCTGTCTGTCTGGCGAGTGCACGTGCCCTATAGCAAAAAAAAAAAAAAAAGAAGAAAAAAGAAAATGAGTTATAGCATGACTAAGTGGGTGGGATTGGGAGGACACTAGAAAACACAGTATCAAGACTTACTAAACCTTCATAAAAGTTTCCTCTCTGAGTCAGCCTTGGGCCAGTACATTGCCTGCCTCCTGTGGAGTATTGGAATCCATAGAGTCAATAAATTCTTCTAAGATTCTTGAATCTTCACCTCCCTGAAATCATCCCAAGATCCCGAGGAGGATGTACACTAGGTTCCAGTGAGGGTAACTAGTTATTCTCTTTCACTTACCATCAGGAAGAGCTAAGTAAAGATTTCACATCCAGGCTCCACATGTCCCACAGAAAGGACCCCAGAACTTAATAGTTCACTCCTGTTGGCCTCTCCACCACCTGCCTCAACCACAAGAGCTAGAGAACTGCCACAATGATGTCACCTGATTCACCTTGGTGACAGGGCTTCTGCAAAGGACCAATTTTCCCTCTCTGCTTTACACTTGGTCATGAGTTTACAGAAAAATTGAGTGTCAAGAAGTTTTTATGTTTTCAACTTCCCTATAGCAAACTTCCTTCTTCTCTCCCTCTGTCTCTCTCCCTCTCTCTCTCTCTCCCCACACATACACATCACACATATATGTATAGATGTAGTTGGCCTTTTTTCCCTTATAATTCACATTCATGTAGAAAGTTGCTAAGCATCAAAAAACTTTCCTAAGACAATGGCCTCCTGGTTTGTAGAGGTTTGTGATATGAGGTCGTGTTGCTGGCTTTGTGGGCTGGTATAGTGTACACAGGTGCAGAACTGGTGGATGGTTGCCTGCCGAACCATCCACCTCTTGACCATTGCCTTGTGGTATCTCCCAGGCCTTCATGATGGGCCATCTCTCAGAGACCTACAGTCTTTTCCTGAAATCTAGTCTCTGTTGCCAACACTCTGGTTCTGCAAAAGTTTTGTACATTCCAGAATAGTAGTTCTCAACCTGGACTAGACATTAGAATCACCTGGAAATTTTTATTAAAAAGCTGTTGTCTGGACCTCACCCTAGAGACTCCAGTTTCATTGGCATGAGATGGTTCTGTGATGAGTAGATTAAACGTTTCCCAAGTGACTACCATATGTGGCCTAGATTAAGAGAACCTGGGAGGGGGAGCCAGCAGGTGAGGTAGTGGTTAAGGCCATGGATTTCTACGTGCTAGACCATGGTCTGAGTACAAGAACTGGTGACCTGAAAATCACACGACATGCATGTGTACACGGGCCCAGATCCTGAGAAAAGAATGAAAGAGAAGGGTTGTGCCATGGCCATCCCCCGGGAGGTGATTTCTCATTTTTCCTCCTCTCTGTCTCTCTCTGTCTCTCTCCAGTGAGTGTACACACCCTTATAGCAAAAACCTAAAACAATCAAAAAAGAGCCTAGGTGGGCAGAGGAGGGTAGCGAGTCAAAGTTCCAACCTCCTTCACCAGATGACATAGATTTTATGTAAGTTATATAAGTATTTGCCAATAGCTCTGGGAGGAAAATTAAATACTAATTCCTCTCACCATGGGATCTTCTGCTCACCTTTTGTAACTATTTCCCTTTCAATTACAGCCCATAACAAATATTAACATTTTATAGTGAATTGCACTGTTTCTTCTTCCATTTGCTCTCTCAGTTGGGAGATACAAATGTTCACATTTCATTAGATAGTAAGGAGAAAAAAACACCATCCCGAGGAACGTCAGAATATGTCCATCATAGTCTTACTCTTTATTCATGTTTTTCTAGATCCAAAGCAGAAAGAACAGTCATAGTGTTCTCATTTTGTGCAGCCATAAGCTATTTAAATTAAAAGGAACTGTAGATATCTGAAAAGTCTTCTATTACAAGAAAGAAGCAAATCAATTTTTCTAAGACTGCCAGTAAATAATGCCCTTATGTGACATATTGTCGTAACTCTGCTCCAAGTGAGGACAACGCCAGCTTATCAGAGTTTCCTCTGCCTCATAAAATGCACCATTTCAGAGCCCACAATTTAATTACATAAAGAAACTATAAACCACCCCATGGAGTTTAGAAGGAAGCATTACCCATCATTTTTATTTATAAGTGTTCTAAACAAAGAAACTGGCAAATGTGGATATGGTCAATGTTTCCCAGGCCATACCAACAGGGTGATAAAAATAGGGTCACCCTGAGTTATAAGCAGGATTTGCTGAATTGGTTCTCCATCTAATCTGCCAAAACTCCAGTCCTCTCTTAGATAACTCTCCAAGAATTCTGGGAATCCAAGGAGTACAGGAATTCATAGATGTCTTTACTGTTCTTCTGTCCTGCTCAACTGAAATGCCAGTGCTCATTCCAGAGGAATCTGGAGTTGTGAGCTATACCATAGTCACCCACTAAAGATGGTGGTGCAGCCACCCACTCTGTACCAAGGCACAGTCTTTCCTCCTGGAGCAGCTGCTGTTACACAGCTGATGATGACTCAGGCAGTCCACATCCATAGGGGTTCTAGCACAATGGCTGCTTCTCCTTTGACTCTTTCTTGGAGTTCCCTTACCCTGAGACCTACATTTGACTCCATAGGGTCTGGGCCAGAGAACAATAAGGTTGAAAAACATTTGTCCCATTTAAATAATCCCTCCACTCTAGCTTTGATCTATTCTCCAGAGTTAAGCATGTTTGTCTTCACGTTCTCTTATGATTTTGTTTTTATTGGCGACTCTTCAGTTCACCTATTCATCCAACCCCATTCCCAGTCCTCCAGATGTATTCATTCACTCACTCACTCATTCAAGGATTATGTGAGATATCAAGGATATCACAATGACTTGGACAGATGTAGTCTCCTCGTCACCATGGAATGCAATGTACAAGTTCCCTGGTAGGGTGCTCAGGATGATGTGAGCATATAGAGAGGACAGATACTTCCTTCTCATATTTATGTGGTCAAGGAAAAGTTCTCAGAGAAAAGAAGTGGACTTCAAACTGAAACCCTAAGACATAGGAGCTAGGCAGGCAAGCAGAGAATAGAAAGGGAGAAATCAACCTGAGGGGAGAAAGGGGCAACTCCAGACATAAAAAAATGAAGCCCAGAGGTTAAGTAGCGCATATCACATTCCACAGGTAAGTCCAGAAGACTCACTACCATAACACATTTTGTTTGTTTATTTGTAGTTGTTTTAAATTTGTTACATTCAATCACTGTAAATCATTACAGCCTAGAAAATGAATTTTCCCATCCTGAATACACTGTATATTGGTTCAATCAAAAATATTACCATACATATTATCTTTTTTTTTTTTTTTTTAGAGAAAGATTTTTGCTGAAGTGTACGTGTGCTTGCCGGAGACACAGAGAAAGAGAGAAATCACTCCCTATCAGGGATGACCTCACCTCATTCCCCTCTCCTCCCTTCTCCTTCATTCTCCTCCTGGGATTTTGGGCATGCACACACATGCTCACAGGCCAGCATGAGTTTCAAGTAATTGGGTCCAGGACTGAAACCATGGTTGGCCATGTGGGAGTCCAACAATGTAACTGCTACACCATCTGCTGGCTCAACCATACATATTATCAAAAACAGATAACTTTCCATTTTTGTGTCCCTTAAGTGTTTTTCTTCTTTCTTTTTCCTCTTGGTTCCCTCCCTCTCACTGTCTCCCATTTCCCACCCTCTTCTCACACTTTCTTTATTATCCTCAGTTGCTCTCCATGCCTTTGTACCTTCCAATTTTTCAGTTTCTGCCATAGAGTGCAGACATTTGGTATATACTGAGTAGGGACATACAATGCCTCTCTTTCATAGTCTGGCTTGCTTCACTTAGCAGTAAATCTTCCTGTGTCAACAACTTATAATCACAAAGAGGACAAAATGGCTTATTGGGCTTGGTCTTCTGAGTGTTTCTTTAAAAAGTTGTTAATTCATAGGGACAGACCCTGAAAAGCAATAAGTCAGATAAAATTGGTTTTCCAGATAAAATATGGAATGCCTGGTTAAAGTTGAATTTCAGATAAATAATGATAATTTTATAGTATAGCTATGTCTCAATATTTCATGAGATACACTTACACTAAAAATTACTCCTGTTTATCTGGAACTCTAATTTAACTGTGTGTAGTGTATTTTTATTTGTTTAATCTGACAGCCCCAGATGATGAATATGACCACAAACTTGGTCACTTTCGCTGGAAAATCAAGTGGAAAAAGAAGAGATAAGATTACAAAAACAGACCTCAATGGTAAAAACATACAACTCATAAGAAAAAGATTGCAACAGGCCAAGTCTTTCTTGTCTGAATTTTAAATAACTAAAACCTATGGAGAATGCTCTACAATAGCAAGTAGAGTACTCATTGCCAGAATCACTTTGTGTAAGAGCAGGACTGCAGAGGAAGGATTGCAGAATCCCCAAGTCACTAGTCACCATCTGCTTGAGCGATGAATCTCATACCGACAGAAAAGAGCCCTATAGTCATCAAACAACAGGGCTAGCCACTCCTGAACTCATGGTCACATACAGCCAAGATGGTGACCGCATCGTGGTTCTTGAGAAATCTGCGGAGTGTAAGCATGTCCAAATGCACGCATATTTGTCTTCTGGCATCTCATTGTAATATACCCCTGTGCCCATGTTTCAGTGGACACTCAATATGTAGGTCCTGCTTCTGCCTCTGAGGGAAATTAATGAGATTCAGTTTACGCACTGAGATGAAGAAGGTACGTTGATAGGAGTGCATGTAAGAGAGAAACAGAAAAAGAGAAAAGTTAAGAGATGAATATGATGGACATAAGAGGAATATTAAGGAAAAAGTATTTTTTATTCTGTTGCAAATTTCCATAAAATGGTTGAACTTAAGTGGAAATGTACTGAATTTGAGGGCAGATGAGAACAAAACTAATAAATTTCACAGAACCATAGTGAACACCAGATGTTGAAAGAAAGTCTTACCAAACCAGACATCTGCTCTCATCTCTAAGAGGCAAGAGTGAATACAAAATATTTCTTAGATGCACACAAAAACGAAACACTAGAGACAACAAAGTGAAAATACATAGTCCCAGATTTCAAATTAGAAGTTATTGTCATTCATTCCTCACACCCAAGTCTTCCACCCCCAGATCCCTGTGATTTGACAAGGACCCAATGATCTCAGTTTTTCACATTCAATCCTTAACCTGAAATGATGGTTTCAGGTCCAACTGGGAATCATGCAAAGCTGAATTGCCTAGAAGCTTCCTTGTGTTAGTCCATTCTGGATTCTATAACAGAGTAACTTATCCTGGATAATTTATAAACAACAGAAATGTATTGCTCACAGTTCTGAGAACTAGGAAGTCCAAAATTGAGGGGCTGGCTGGTGAGGGCTCTTTCTTCATAGATAGCACCTTGATGTATCCTCACATGGCAGAAAGAGCAAGCAAGCTTTCTCAGGACTCTAATAAGGGAATTAATCTCATTCATAAGGTCCCTACCTGTATGACTACATGTCTCCCAAAAAGACCCACCTCTTAATACTACCACATTCAGGATTAGGTACAGACTTATGAATTTTGGGGTGGCACAAAAATTTGACCATCGCAACCCTCTTCCAATTCCTTATCCCCCTCAATTCACACTGCTCCTAGTAAACCTAAGTGTGCTCATGCCTGGTCCCGAGATGAAGACTGCAAACAGAGTAATAGGTAGACTATGCATATGATTTTCCCACCCAATTCTCTGCATCATGTTAAAATATAAAAATAGATTTGTTCATGAGGCACATCTGGTGCACTAGGATGTACATTTTTATAGACTTGAACATATAGTGCATGTTTTTTATAATTAGAAAGTAAGATTTTTCTGGACACCTTAAGAAAAATTTAATAAAGAAGAAGAGTTAAGCTATGTTTGTATGAAATCATGTAGAAATGGGCTATGTTCAAAATGATGAATAGTACAATAAAATAACTTAATGACCCAAAGCTGCTGTGCTTTCAGGTCAAATCATCCAGCGCAAAGTGAACATGGTCTTTAAAACAGTTGGTTATTTCCTATTTTTTAAAAAATAATTTCAGTCGTTCAAAAGCAAAAAAAAAAAAAAAAAAAAAAATAGTGAAGCCAAAGCACAAAGAAGTTTACATCGCTCATAACCACACCGCTTGGAATAACCACTATTCACATGTTGGTACTTAGCCCTTCTAGTCTTCATTCTGTATTTATATGATGCTATTATAAAAATGAGACCATCCTGCACTTATCATTTAGTAACAGCTTTACCAATGAACAATATACAGGCAGCATTTCTCCATCATCTATGATAATATCCTTCTAACACACATAGGTAATTTTTTTGTTTGTTTTACAAATTGCTGTAGAGTAAGAGTGCTGGTCAGAGAGAGACAGAGAGAGAAAGAGAGAGAGTAAAAGAGGAAGCACAACCACAATGGGGTAGCCATTCTCCTCTCAGGATTTTGGGCACACATGCACATGTACCCATTGAGTTTTTCAAGCCACTGCATCCAGAGCTCAAATACATAGTCAATCATGTGGGATCCAGTCCCTTAACCACCATGGCACTGGCTGGCCCCACATGGGTAATTTTTGAGCATGGCACAATATTTCATTGTTGACCTTGGGAAGAACTGCACTAAATTTGAGGACAGATGAGAACAATAAATTGATTTCGTTTTTTGAATGTGTCTTAACTTATATAATCAATTATCCTACCACCACTTTTCTGTATCTCTCTTCTTTTTACACCCCCACAACCCCACCAAAAACAATAATGAATGTGATGTGACAATCTTACAACTAAATCTTTTTGTATATCTAGTTATTTCCTTAAGATAAATTCCTAGAGTTGTAATTACTGGATCAAGGGGAAATTACTATGCTCTTAAACCAAAATATTTCTGTTTTTCTTTTTAAATTTTCTAGAATTAAGTGGGAGTTCTAAATGGGCCTTGTCGGCCATGTACAAGGAGACCCAAAAGTCCATGGAGGGGCCGGCAGGTGGCATGATGGTTAGGGCCTTGAGTTCTCATGAGGCTGACTGCAGTTTGAGTCCAGACCTGGTAGCTTACCTTCTTGCTTTTCCTCTCTTTTTCTGTTTCTAACAAAATTAAAAAATAATAATAATCAATAAAATTAAATAAATATTTATTTTTTAAAAGTCCATGGAACATGGAATTAAAGTGTGAATTTATTTTGGTGAAAACACTTTTGAAATCCATGCATAAATTTTTATAATACAAATGTTTCATGAACTTTTTGAAGACTCCTTATATGCAGTTTACATGCATGTCTCTTCTAGTTTATAATACCTAATTTTTTTCAACCAAGCAGCAGATGTCAAGCACACATGTACTCAATTATTTTTTTAAGTTAGAGTTATTATAATGCTTTTATGCTGACAGCTCCAATCACTTCCAATTCATAGAAATAATATCACAAAATTAAATCAAATCATGAAAGCAATTTACAGAGTAAAAACGAGAGGTAGGTAATTTCTGCCTAAAGCAGTATGGAGAACTATATCTTAAATCTAAAGTCCACCAATTGCAGGTAACACAACAAAGTGGATGAATTGCACATACATTGTGCTGAGAAGAAACCAGATACTAAGAGCACATATTTATTATTCCACTTATGTAAAATTCAAAAATAAGCACAATGTTAGTGAGTGACAGAAGTCAAATAGCAGTTATTTCCCGGGGATCAGAGAAAATACTGAGTAGGAAGCAGCCCAAGGGATCTTTCTAGGATCCTGAAGAAATTTTATCTATTCATCTGGATGACAGTTACACAGATGTATATAATAAAATAAAAAATTATAAATACAAAAATATATAAACATACTGGGAACCAGCAGTTAGCGTAATGGCTATGTCGCTGGACTCCCACGTAGTCGACCGCGGTTCGTGTTCCGGACCCGGTGGCTTAAAACTCACGCCGGGCGCGTGTGCGTGCGTGCCCAAGATCCCGAGAGGAGAATGGAGGAGAAGGGATTGCGGCGTGACCATCCCCCCTGGGGGGTGATTTCTCACTTTCTGTCTCTCTGTCTCTCTCTGTCTGTCTGGCGAGCGCACGCGCCCTACAGTGAAAAAAATCTCTCCAAAAAAAAAAATATATATATATATAAACATACTCATATAACTATTAAAGTGCATGTATAAAAATTGGAAGATGCACCTAAATTCTGTGTCTAAGTCTAAGCTATGAATCAATGGCTAACATGAGTTTCCTAGGGTTGTTATAATGAAGTACCACACAGCAGGTGACAAAATTGCAGAAATTTATCTAGAAGCTAGAAGTACAAAATTGGAATGTCAGTTGGGCTGTGCTACCTCTGAAAACATGAGGGGACTCCTTCCTTGTCTCTCCCTACCTTTGGGTGGTTTGCCATCTTTGGTATTCCCTGGCTTGCAGACGCTTCACTCCAATCCCCGCCAACGGGGCCATATTATTATAAGGACATCAGTCATACTGGGTTAGGGGCTTACCCTATTTACATATGACCGCATCCAATTACCTCTACAATGACCCTATTTCCAAATAAAGTTATATTATGGGGAAGTGGAAGTTAGGATTTCAACAAATAATTTGGGGGGATACAATTCAATCCATAATAGTTTACAGTCTTGTTTTTATTTATTTATTTATTTTAATTTTTTATACATTCAATCACATTTTTAGCTTACAAAGTGAACATTTGAATATGTAAACATTTCTCCCTAGTCCAGTTAATCAAAATATCTTCAACAGATAACACCACACCTCCTCATCCCATCAATTCTCTGCATCTGTGTCCTTCCTCCAAATATCCTTCTCCAGGTCCCACTCCTCCACACACCCCACATCTGGCATTGACACCCATCTCTTGTGTTGGTACATCCTTTGTCAATCATTTTCAGTCATAGAGTACAGACACTTGGTATATATTAGATGGGGACATAAAATTCTACCCAAATTTATCTACATATTTAATGCAATGCCAATCAAAGTACCAGACACATTCTTCACAGATCTAGAAAAGACAATCATAAAGTTCATCTGGAATCACAAAAGACCCCGTATTGCCAAAACAATTCTACACAAGATGAGTGGAGTGGGTGGCATCTTACTCCCTGACGCAAAAATATACTACAAAGCTGTGGTAATCAAAACAGAATAGTACTGGCACAGAAACAGACATATGGACCAATGGAACAGAATAGAGTCCCCAGAAATAAATTCCCAAACGTACAGTCTACTGACTTTTGACAAGGAGTACCAGTCAATACAGTGGGAAAAGGAAAACCTCTTCAGCAAATAGTGCTGGGAAAACTGGATTTCCACCTGCAGAAAGATGAATCTGAACCCCTACCTCTCACCTTTGACAAAAATCAAGTCAAGGTGATTCAAAGATCTAAATCTAAAACGTCAAACTATGAAACTGCTCCTAGCAGGAACCAGCAGTTAGCGTAATGGCTATGTCGTTGGACTCCCATGTAGTCGACTGCGGTTCACGTCCCAGACCCAGTGGCTTAAAACTCACACTGGGCGCGTGTGTGTGTGCATGCCCAAAATCCCGAGAGGAGAATGC